TGCGCCATGAGGCACAGTGAGGAATCCAACGCCAACCTCTGTCTGCACCCAAATACCTAAACCATGTGCAATCCAGAAACTGTTCATCACAAGGGGGAAATGCAGCCATCTTAGCTCCTGTACATAGGTGTTGCATGATTGGAACAAGGAGGTACTCCCCCAAATGTGTATGGGGGCTGAATCATGACTCCTCTCTGTTCCATAAACTAACCCTCCTTTTAACAAGTTTAGGGTACAGTCTTCCTTGCTACCTTTTGTAAGCAATAGCATGCAGCAAGATGAATCCCTCTGATGCTCACGCCACAGTGGACTAGTAACTTTTCTGAGGACACACCTTTTCACAATTTATGTACTTTGTCTTGTTGCTGATAGGCTGAATGCTACTGAACAAGCACGGTTCAGTCCACCCAAAAGCATCTTACTATAAGCAACAACTACTGGTTTTGGTCATTGGGTGTAGGTTAACAAAATGACACTTCTTCCAACAATTGCCAAGTCAGCATGAATGTGAGCAACATAAGCCACCTTCAGAGTGCATCTGGCTGGGTGCAACAGTTTGTTTTATTTCCTTCAACAGGTATTAATGAATATTTAGGTACTTAAGTCTCACATGACAGGAAAGATCTGTTGTTGCACCTAAGAGGTAAAAGAGACATGCTGTAATTAAAGTATTTTTCATGGTACAAAAACATGCAATTATAAACATGACAGTGACACACCTGCTTCCTACAAATAAACATGCCAGCAAAACCAGTCATCAGATGCACTTATATATTAATGTGTGCAGTTTATGTTTACTAATATATTTGACTCAACATACACATTTACCTCAATTGTGTTGGTGCATTTCCTCCCCACTATATGTATTTTGAGCTCTTCCCATTGTGCTTGCTGTTTTGCATATACTGTACCTCTTTGCCACCCAAATGGACTATATGCCTTGTATCTGTATCTGTAGTCAAGGTTCATCACTTCTCATTTCAACTCTCAAGGCAATCATTCCTTGAGATTTTAAAAAATTGTCATGCGGAGTAACTGTCTAGCGAGGCACCACTGTACTTCTTTGCCACCCAAATGGACTATGTGCCTTGTATCTGTATCTGTAGTCAAGGTTCATCACTTCTCATTTCAACTCTCAAGGCTATCATTCCTTGAGATTTTTGAATTCAATAAAATACTACCCCTTCTTTACTTCTGGGAGTCTCGATAAACCATTTCATAACCTCATATACTTGCAGTGAAATTCAAAGTCTTGGGACATCAGAGTTCCATTAATTTAGATGAGTGGTATACCTGGAACTCAGATAATCCATACTTCTACTCCCTTGCTGGTTATGCTAGTTCTTTCAAAATTGCAATCCTACATCTGGAAGGTCATATATTAACCATTCATGACTGCTGGTGGCCTACAGGCCCTATCTGGAAAGATCTGGGTGATGTGTGTGTGTGGGAGCAGCAATCATATTTGGTACAAGAAAAGGAATGGAACGTGAGAAAGCAGCTGCAGCAATCATGGAGGTGGGGCAGGGCAGCAATTTTCCCTTTTCTAGGAACGCCCTGGGAATCCTCAGCTGCTCCTCTTCAAGCATCGATTTGGCATTCTTGTGGTGTGAATTCTACTAACTGAAAGCCAGGGGTTGCTGAGGTGTGACCTTGTGGGAAGCTGCAAAGAAACCCTCAGCTGCAATCGCATCCAGTTCACGAAAGAGAAGATGGTGAAGGAGGAAGATTTGTGCAGTGACGCCTGAGGGGCAAGAACCAACAAGAACTTCTGACAGGAGTGGTGACTGAGGAATTCCCGGGTTCTTGGCTTAGACTGGCCTTCTGCAGAATTCTTCATATTCATCCAGTTCCTAAGAAAGGACATTTTGAGAATACCTTGAAATAGTGGAGCTTAGACACTGGGGCTGTTGGCTGACCTGGAAAAAAAAACCAGCCTGATCTCCTATACCTTTCACAGTTGTTCAATTTAGCGAAATAAATAGGCAAAGCTTTTCAAGGTGTACAAATAAACACTGGTGTGTATTAATGATTTCAGGTTTCACAGCTGCTGTTAAAGATACAGGGACAAAAGCTACAAACAAGATAATAGTCCTATTAGGTATTCATATATTTATAGATTATCTGTACCTCTATGCCATTTGTTCAAGGGCCAAAGCTTTTTTAGGACAGCTTATATTTAAAGAATCAAAATATAAATACAGATCAAATCAATTCACTAACTGGACAGGGCAGTCCTAATTATATGTGGAATCACTGGGGGCTCAAATTCTTTTGCTGCATGAGATTGAGAACTGGGCAAGCAGGTTCTTTGGACAGCAGTGCTAGTTGCAGAAAGCAACCAGTGTAGCTCATCATGAAGATGGACACAACTATATGTCAGTTTCTGAGGTCTTTTTTCTCAGAGCCAGGCATGGGGGGTGGGATTCTCTAGGGGAGAACTCCTATTCTGCTGCGGTACAGGTGGTCTCCCAATGCACCCACTATGAGCATCCCATTCACTATGTCTAGCCCCAAGGATATCTTCAGACTAAAGCATTAGAGGCCTGTCCTTTTCTGAAGAATAATGCTCTACATAGACAGTAACAATACAAGGTGCACAGTTCTATACATCACACTCTTACTGTCTATGTAGAACATTATTCTTCAGAAAAGGACAGGCCTCTAATGCTTTAGTCTGAAGATACATACATACATATATATACACACACATATATATACACACACATATACATATACATATATATACTGTACATATATATGTATATTTATGTACTGTACAGTATATACAATATATGTATATATGTATATATATTGTTTTCTATATGTATTTTATCTAGGCTGTGTTAGAACTGTTCACCCTGTCATGCTAACAATACAGGGAGAAATTCAGAACAACCCAGGACAGGGTGAAATGATTCTGAGCACTCAGCGCTTGAAATAGAAGGGAGATAGCAAGCTTGGAAATGTTACATTTGGGGTTATCACTATGCTGGCTGGGGGATGCTGAGAGTGGTAGCCCAAAAAAGTAACATTTAAAAGTTTGCTATCTCTTTTCTTTTCCAGGTGATGAGAAAAACTATTTAGGGCTGTCCTAGTTGGTCCAGATTTCGCCCTGTGTTGTCAGCATAAAGGAGGGGTTGAACACAGCCTTAAACACTCTGGGAAATGACACACCTCAGGGGTTGATGGGAAGAGAAGGGTGAAGTCCTGTTAATTCATCTGGATCTCTCATCAACTTTTAATGCTGTCAGCCATGTTATGGTTGCTGAACAGTCACCAAACGAGGACTGGGCCGCCTGCTGTTAACAATGGCTCCTGTTCTTCCTGATGGAACAAAATCAGAAGGTCAGGATGGAGCAATCCTGCCTGTTCTGCCCCACAGCCACCGGCTTTTGAGGCGCCTCAGAAGTCTGTCTCACTTCCCATTCTCTAAGAACATCTATATGATGAAATCACTGAGCAGTAATTTGCTATTTAATTGTTTTTAAAATATTTGTACACTTACTGTTTTTGCTTTTAAATATTGCCTTTTTAATTTTGTAAGCTCCTTTGGATCCTTTTTTTAAGGAGCTAGGCGGGGTAAAAATATTTTAAATTAAAAAATATATATATCTCGAAATTTATCTCCAGAATAATAGTTTTTCACGTGTTGGAGACCTATTTGATTTTATTCCTATAGAACAGCGACACCAAATCACACGATTACCAGAGCGACGGTTCCCTCTGATTTTGCCCCTCATCTTCTTGCTTCTAAACTACATATTGCTGAACAAATCTGGGGTTGCCGCCCGAGTCCCAGCTTTTCCCAAGAGAACTACATTACCCAACATGCCCCACCGTCTGCTGGTGATGATGCGTCCAAGAAGGCGGTGCTGCGAAAGCTCCTTGCTGTGTTGTCAGCTCTTGAGAAGAGAAGTCTTAGCCGTGTGGGGGGGTCTTTCCGCGGAGAGAAAGACCCCCGCCGTGCCTTTCTAGGCAGTCCACCTCGGGAGGGCGAAGGGGAGACTTTTTAATTTCTCCTCCGTCTTGCAAGGCAAGTGAGAGGGGCTTGCGGGGACTCGCGTGGAGCCGAGGATCAGGCTGCTTTAGGGTGCGAGCTAAACCAGAAACAACGGGGGTGGCGAGAGGTTGTGTCTGGGTTTGAGTAGTAAACATATCCTGGAAAGGAGAGGCGGGCAAATAAATCGAGATTTAAAACATAGGCCCGGTTGTTGTTGTTCTTCATGCATTTGGGGTTGCTGGGGAGGGGGATGCAAAGATGTGGGGAGGGAAGCCTGTTTCCCCTGAGGAGGAGTGCACAGATTAAGACCAGCTGTTCGGAGAAAGAGACGTAGGTGTTTGTGAGAGGGACAGAATTGTGGGTGTGATTACTCAGAGTTATCACAAAAGGCATGGCTTTTTTCTGTGTGTAAACGGGCATCACATGTTCAGAAAAACTGGCGAGAGATTGAAAGTTTATATGTAGCCAGTGGGAGTGATGGAAGAGCGAGGACGATAACAGTATCTGAGAAGTTGTCCATCTTGGACCTAATTGAGAAAGAGTAGGAAAGTATGCAGCGTAGCCAGCCAAAGAGGGCAGGGATGACTATTTCTGGGACAAAGACACACACACACACATACACAGACTGACCAGCCCCCTACTTCTATGTGTCACAACAACCCATACCTAAATTTAGAATTTGAGAAGCCTGAGTCATTTTACTTAAAATTCCAGGATTGCATCTGGGCTCTGGGCTTTAGTGTGTACATCCATCCTACTTAAGAGTAGAGAACAACCAAAGATGGGCAGAAGCAGGTTTTAAGAGAGTCATCAGTAAAAAGCATCAGAGATTGGGATGAGATGATGAGGGGGTTGGGGGGGGGAGAGAGAGCTTTGCAAGGGCCTGGAAAGTGGGGAAAATGTCAGTGTGATGCCATGGTGAGAAGAAAAGGGAGCACCACATGTTGTGTCTCAGTTTTGGAGTGGGCAGAACGAAATTGCGGTGTTCCCATACTGTATCAAGTGTGGTGTGTATGTGACTTTTTTTGTGGATCCAACTTGTGCTTGCCTACCTGCGATGGGTACAATCAGGGAAGGACTCAGGAGATGATGTCCACAGCTCCACAGAATGAACCAGGAGGGAGGGAATACAGCAGGGATGGCTTGTGGATTTTGAAGTAAGTGAATAATGTACATAGTTATTTAAAGAGCACCCCTCCAAGCCATTAAGTTTAGAGTCTAAATGCAGCCCTGAGAGTAAGAGTGTTCCTGCCTATTGATCCAATTACTTTAACTAAATTGTGTCTGCTTAGGTGTCTGGCTCCACTAACCCTTTGGCCTCAGATATATTTGTCCCTTTGGCTCTAAAAGTGGTGACTCTGGGTGATGCGATCTGAACAAAGCAGAAGTCTTGCGTTTCTTATGCAAATGATCATGTGTCGATATACCTGATCAAAACTTCAGTGATTCTGTTGGATAAAATAAAATGTCCCAATTCAATCACCTGATACTTCCCTTTCTTAGATGCAGAGGAGGGGAAAATTTGGACCTCCGGATGTTCTTGGAGTTCAGCTCCCATTACCTTTAGCCGCTGTAGACTATGATGAAGGAAGCTAGGAATTTTAATTTGACATTTGAAACCATACATTGCCCTTTGTGCCCTTTATGTTTTCCTACAGAAGAATGTAGTGGAATGATTTGTAGGTGGGTGGTGTGTTTATGTCATCCAACAGTGAAGGATAGCAGGGGTGGTGGAACCTGTGGTCCTTCAGCTGTTGTGGGGTTCCAGTGTTCATCAGCCTCAGCCAGTTTGGCCAGTGGTCCAAGATGGTAGGGGTTATAGTCTAAGAACGTTTGATGGCCACAGTTTTCACCTCCCTGAACATGTCACTGAAGAGTTTATGAAAATCAAGCTTGGGAGGAAGCACAGTAAGGCACCGAAATCACAACAGCCTGTGAGAAGAGAAACTGGAGGCATATCTTGTAATTTGTATGCAAACCCTTTAACCCAAAGTTAAAGAATTTGCAGTGGAGTCTTGCATTTTAAAAAATTGCAGTGACATCTTACTGCAAATTTGTGACTGTTTAGTTGGGTTTTCTGTTCAAAGAAAAGCAGAATGAAAGTTGACTATATATGGCAGAAAAATTTATTTTGGAAATCATTTGCTAAAGTTTCATGAGCCAAAGATGGGTCATAGTCTTGGGTTCTCCAGCCGCTGAGCAGAGGGAAATGAAAGGTGGACTTCCTTGACCTCATGAATGGTTGCTTCTGCTGATCTACTTATGTGCCAGAATGAGGTGGTAGAAAACAGAATGTATCAAACTACAGCAGGGGATCACATTTCTAAATGCTCCCCTTCAAAGTCCCCCCCCCCAATGCAAGTAGAAAACTAGCAGGTCTGGGGCTGAGTGCTCAAGAATGGTTCTCCAATGTGCTAGTTGTTTACTTGCAAGGAAGGGTAGCTTTTTCTTTCCTATATAAAAGAGACAGAGCTTGGAAAAATACTGCTTCTGGATTTCATCTCCCAGTTGTCATTGTTGTTTAGTCGTGTCCGCCTCTTCATGACCCCATGAGCCCTCCTGTCTTCCACTGCCTCCCAGAGTTGGCTCAAATTCATGTTGGTAGCTTCGATGACACTGCGCAACCATCTCATCCTCTGTCATCCCCTTCTCCTCTTGCCTCCACACTTTCCTAACATCAGGGTCTTTTCCAGGGAGTCTTCTCTTATGAGATGGCCAAAGTATTGGAACCTCAGCTTCAGGATCTGTCAGGGTTGATTCCTTCAAAATGGATAGGTTTGTTCTCTTTGCAGTCCAGGGGACTCTCAAGAGTCTCCTCCAGTACCACAATTCAAAAGCCTAAATTCTTCGGCGGTCGGCCTTCTTTATGGTCCAGCTCTCACTTCCATACAGTACATTGCAACTGGAAAAACCACAGCTTTGACTATGCGGACCTTTGTCAGCAAGGTGATGTCTCTGCTTTTTAAGATGCTGTCTAGGTTTGTCATCGCTTTCCTCCCAAGAAGCAGGTGTCAGCTCCTAGTATCCCCTAGTAATCAATACCACCACCAAAAAAAGGAACTTCCCCAAACTCTGGGAAGACCATTCTGAAATGCCACCCTTTTTGTCACCCAGAGCAGAACAGTTTGCTTCACTGCAACTGTATTATACACCTTCTGTTGAATGGACAGGTCAAGCTATATAGACAGGGTCTAAAAATGGATTTTGAGCTTTACTGAAAATATAAAATTAAATGCCAGCCATTGAGAAATCCAACCGCTGGTGTGGGGTAATGGTTAAAATGTCAGACTAGAGAAGAAGAACTCAGAAGACCTGCGTTCATATCCCCACTTAGCCATGGCAACTTGCTGGAAGGGTGGTGATGGTAAAACCCCTACTTAAATGTCTCACATACCTTGGAAGCCCTATTATAGTCATCTTAAGATGGTTGTGATTTGATGGCACACAATAACAGAAGCTTGACTGAGCTAGATTTTTATGGTTTTTTTCATACCTTAAGGGGATCTGAGGATTGCATTGGAAAAGTTTATGCTTGTTGGGAATATATTTGACCAATTTTGTTATAATGTGGACATGAACACACTTAAAAGTGTTTGGGACAAGAGGGGAGGAAAGTACTTTGGAATTTAGATAGCCTGGAAACAGGCAACTGTTTCTGGATATTAATATACTGTATTATCCCAATTTCCTTCTTAGGTTTTGGGTAACTCCAGTTATAAAAGCACACATGTTCTTCTTCCAAACTTCTTGCCACTGTATAGTTAACATTTCTGTGTATCCAATCATTTTGGATGTTGACCCTCAACCCAGTTGAGTAATTAGAGTTATGCTGTAAAAGGTCAGTTTGAAAGAGCCAAGCCAAAGTCCAAAGCAAACCACTAGGGTTGTGAGTGATCCTGTGGTTAAATAAACACAGAATAGCAGAGTGGGAGGGGTCAAGAAGAGGCCAATCCTGTGCAAGGAGCGGCGGGTGCTGTGACCTCATGATACTTTGTAGTGGCATGTTGCTTTCTATAGCAAGTTTGGAGGCCATAACTGTGCTATGCGTGCGTTGTGAGTGGGCAGACAGAAATAGCAACAGGATAAGGCCACAGGAACACAGGTTTGTGTGGAGTCAGGCTCTTTATCTAGCCTTCCTTTCCCAACCTGGGATCCCCAGATGATGTTAGACTGCAACTCTGACCATCTGCCAACTTCTTAGTGGTGATGAAAGTTGACAGCCCTTCATGGTCAAAGAGGCTCCTCAATCACATTACCTTGCTCTGAAGATTAGACTTAGGACTTTCTGCATGAAAAGCATGTATTTTATTGCAAACCAAATTAAAAGGTTCTCAACTGCATTTTGTAGCCACATTCTGGTTAATGAAGGCTACTAGATTTAGGCCAGTGATGCTTCTAGATAATTTTAAACTTCAGGCTTAATGGTCACAGTTGGTTGGAGAAGGAACACATTGTCATGCATTGTTTAGCACTATCTTTACAGCTTGTATGTTTCAAACCAAAATATGGCTTACCAAGCCAGATGTTAAAAAGACAAGACCTGAGCATGTGCGGTTTTGTATTTGGAACTGAAAATTACCCTACCATCAAAGGGAGAAGACACAGAGAGTGGTGGGGGGGGAAGAGGGAGGAGAAACTAAGAGGTTTCTAACCCTTGCAAAGCTGGGTGTTTCTGCTGATGAGAAATACAAGTGCTTCTGTAGTTCTAGTGCTAAACACATTGACTTTGGGAGTAGATTTATGTCAAGAAGGAAAACATTTTTAGAGGAAATAAAATGTGTACCTGTAAATTTGTGCATACTTAATTATCATCTTCCAATTTATTTTAGAATTCTATGGTGGATGCACATGCTACTCTAGGTGCTAACAATGAGGTTGGTTGACTCTGTCGTAGTTAGCAATTGCTTGAGCGTGGGGGTGGGATCATTTTGAGAGCACTGAGATTGTCAGCCCTGGATATCTTTCGTAAAGTCCAGCAATAGTTTAGTCTGGCACTGTTCCTTTGCACTATTCACGTTCTTGCAATAATATGGGCATTGGGATAAAGGCAATTTTCTTAGAATGTTGCTTTTTTTGCTTGTTTTAAAATTTGTATCCTGTATTCATTTAACACACTCAAGGCCAGTTAAAATGGCATTTCTAACAGTTAAGTCAATTTGAACTGTTTATTTATTTAAAATACTTTTACTCCACCTTTCTCCTTAAAACTATTCCTCTGCTTGGGTAAGACTGTTGAACTGGCCTCCTCAAACAAAAAACAGGATGCAGAAGCCAGAGGGCTCTCTTATAGAATTGTTTGCTTAGCAGATAAAGAAGAATAAATGTTAAGTTTCAGAAGTTTCGGTTTCTAGCTGAGGTAACCCCTCCAAAATTCTGTCTCTGTGATGCTTGTATGTGTGCGTTGTTGTTGTTGTTGGGTTTTTAGTTAGCTGGAACACAACTTGTTCAACTACTCAATGAATTTAAGAGTAAACTAATGCAAAGTACCATAATAGGACCCACAGGGAAATTACGGAAAGCAAATTTTTACTCTTGAGTACCATTTGTCCTCTTTCCTGTTCTCTGCATTGTCTACTTGGTTTAAGATAACATGGGATTATGTGTCAGAATCATACTCTTATTTCTGGTTATTTAGGCTATAATTGTGTGTCCACTTAGCTGAAAGTAAGAGCAATTAGATTCAGTGGGACTGAGTAGAAATACATGGGATTTTGTTATGAATGGACTTGTCTGATAGTTATGTACTCCGGAAGAACAAATCCTGGAAGATTTTTAAAAATATTTTAACAGTGTTATAATTGGTTGTAGGTTTTTCAGGCTGTTCGGCCATGTTCTTAAGGTTTTTCTTCCTAATGTTTCGCCAGTCTGTGTGGCCGGCATCTTCAGAGGACGGGAGTCAGAACTCTGTCTCTGTTCTGGTACAGTTTGTGGGGTACAGTATTTGAGTATTTATAGCTATGGGATCAGCTTTTTGTCCTTTTCAGGAGATTGGGCGATTATGGTGATCAGCATGTTTTTTGTTCTGGGTGTATTGTTGTGATAAGGGGACATTGTCACTGTGATTGATGGGTGTTGTTAGCTGTCTTTTGTGTGCATTGATCACCGGTCCTTGTGGCTGGGTAGACATTAAATTCTAAGCTGGAAACGAAATTCCAAG